TAGTTATTAAATGCAAAGGGTGTACCCAAACTTTTGTTTATCTCAACAAGAAGATGCTTTGCAAGGAAAATGTTTCATGTTGACATGGTTCTTCAAAGTCTTATTGTAAACTATTACCAAACTGATAACTTATGTTAAATTATTCTTGAGCTTGCATAAAACACTTTGTTGAAGAGAATAAACCAGAAATTTGCAAAAACAAGGAAGGGGAAAAGGAGTAAGAAAACAAGGTCCAAATCTACAAAAGTCACAAATGAAAACTGCATTAGAAAACTGGTTTTAATGAACATGGAATAAACTCTGACTCAACTAGCAAAGGAATTTAAAATTGTCAAAAATAATCATATATTTAAATGGAAGATTGAATAGATTTTCCTCCAAGTGTCACAGACGATATTCCTCTTTAGTCCTGAAAATATCAAAGATATTTTAGTGACAAAAGCAGGTTTGAGTTGGTCAGTGATGCTCCTTAAAGGTGTTTGAAAATATCCAAGAATTATTAAACTTGGGGTCTGTATTGATCCAAGGTATTTTTTCAGTTGATAGGGTTTTATAACTAATCCTGTGTGAAAAATGCTGAAAAATTCATGGATATTCAACATTGTGGATTGCTTCCCATTGCTCAGAAACTCCATCCTGAAGGAAAACAGTCTTTCAGTAGGACAATACTCTTGACTAAATACATCAATATTTTACTAACAGAAGACAGTTCTTTATTCTTGTCAGGCTAATCAATGTATTGGAAATTTCTACAATCAAAACTAACAAGTTATCTAACAAGCCAAGTTTGTGGAATTCTGGCCAAGAATAGTTAGATTCCATACCTGTTGATGTTTTGTAGAAGCTGAGTGAATCAATGATTGCCAGGTTGGAACAATTGAAAATTGCTAAATGCGGAGATATTAAATATTAAACTACTGTATTTTCTGCTTATCCTTTGTGTGCATTTATAACATGATTGGTGCATTCATTTCTAAGTTGGAGACAAAAAAATAATAAAATTGGTGTAGCCAATTTCTTTCTTTTTCAATGTGTGTATAATTATACAATTGTGTGTCTACAAGGTGCAATGGATAAATTGTTGTCTAAATTATGCATACTGAAAATAACATTGACCTCTCGTGATATATTTAACAAAATTACACAAAAATATCATGAAATACTAAAGAGTAAATTCAATAAAATCGCCATTGGCTTCAACTACAGCCTCCTGACAACTTTGGAATCTCTTGCATCTCTTCTGAAATGGTCTTATTGTTTAAGTCGGTGAATGCTGCCATAATCCTCAATTTTATTTCATCTTTGGTGTTACAAAGAATTTTGTTGGTCTGTTGTTCAACAGTGCTCCACAAATAATAATTGAGGTGGTTTCAGTCTGGAGAGTTAGGTGGCCATATGTAAGTGGGGATATGGTTGCAGAAATTGCCTTACAGCCATGACTGGTTTCTCCTGCTTGTGTGGCACCGCACAGAGTCCTATTGTCAGACATAGGGTCTTCCAACTGTCACCCTCTTGACCCAGGGCAGCACTAGCTCCTCAAGGCATTTGATGTAGGCCTCTGTGTTGAGTCTGAGGCCCTGTGGGAAGATGAATGGAGACATAACGTTGCCATCACTAGTAATCACTCCAAAAACCATGATCTTAACTGAATATTTGGTTTTCATCACTCTTGGTACATCTTTTGGAGATACAACAAGCCAACAATTTTTCTGTATGTTCACTATCTTATCCTAGCAGAATTTTTTCTCGCCTGAGAAAAACCAAAGCATGTTCAGTTAGAGGGGATGCTTGAGTTTGTTCTAAAGCTTTGTAGAGCTGTCTTTCCTTTTGTCCTTCATGGCTTGGGATAAGAAATGTCTTTCTCATCTTGTATGAGAAGTACTGAATATCTTTTGTGCACTATCTGCCTGGTGAAACTCAGATATTTCAGGTTCATATATAATTAAACATATACATATATATATATATATATATATATATATATATATATATATATATATATATATAATTACGAATATACTTATGCGTGACACTATTTAGCCATGGTAATTGGCTAACTAATTAACCATAGAAATCAAAACAGGAAATACTTAAGGTGAAAAAGAGCTATCCCAAAAGATAAACTGAAACGATGTTAAAAAAAAGATTTGATTTTATTTACGACAAAAATACCTCTCACAAAAGACAGTAAACCCGTGGAAAAAGCCATATGTGAGGTTTTGTCAGGTTGATTAATGTCTTGCCGAGGGAGATAGGAAGAAAGGCAAATATTAAGATATCGGCCAGACTATGGTGATCATATAAATTTCGGCTTGAGAGGATTGCCAATACAGATAAGGAGAATCAATGTTAATTATCTTTCCAAGATATTATTTGTTTTTTTTTTCTTGGCCACCGGAGAGGAAAAGCAATGTGGCAATTATAAAATTTTGGCATTTGTCTTGACATAGGTGAGAGGATTGTTATTATTTTCCTTATCAACATGTCACTTCAGATGCTGAAACGTTGAATAGCAATGTGGCATTTGTAAAATTTTGGCATGAGACAGAAAATAGAGTGGAGAATTGAGATTTGGCGAGATAAAGAATTTAATCTCTCAACAAGCCAAGGGTTCCATTATAAAGCTAACTTCATGAAGGGACCAGATGGCAAACTTTGACAGTGATTGATGGAGTCAGTAGAGAGTGCTGGCCAAGTGAATTCTAGGTGGCCAAAAGATATGATAGAAATTTAAGTGGGAATGTGGAATTCGTAAAAAGTTTGGCCAATGGGAGGGGGAGAATTTTGTAATATAAAAATTCTGGGTTATAATTTTAAGGAGGCCAGCTTAGCCACACCTGCACGGCCGGGATACCATTGGTTGTTTGGTAGCAGTGGTGATATGCGGAGGAAAATGGATGAGAAGGATGGAAAAGTTATTAACACCCACTGAAGGGATTGGTATGAGATATCAATGTGAGAGAGGAAGAGTTTAGGAGGATAACTCTCCTCTGACCTCCCCTCATGGACGAGGGAGACCCCCCCTGAAAAAAAATGGAAAGTGTTTCATTTTCCAAAAATGGGAAGTAATCAATTTTCCTGGCCTGACAACAAAGAGATTTCTTGTTGGGAATTGAGATTTACCGAGAACCTCAGGCCGCATCTGGCCCCACACTGGGTTTTGGTCGGTACCAATATAAACAAACGTCCTCAGGTCATTCAGTCAGTTGGAGACAGTCAGTCAGTTGAGTTGGAGTTCTGAGTTGAAGTCGCAGTTGAGCTGGTTTTAGAGTTAGTCAGAGCTTCACCAGAGTGTTGCTTTGCACAAGCTGACCAAGAGATTCCACGACATTTGACTTTGCCTATCCTACCAATAGCAAGTTATACTGATGAGCGAAGCCAAGCCAACACCTAAGAACTAAATCAGTTGATTTAAGATACCAACTTGCTTGAAACATAGATGTGTCACATTTCGTAGAAACAGGCTGGGAGAAAAACACACTCCTGTATATAAATAGAAGGATAACGTTTATTTGTTAACATGCTTGAACCTCTTGGGTTTTTCTTTTAGTTTTTTTTTCCTTTGCACTTGTGTGATATCACCTTCAGTCTGGACTCAGCCTACACTATGGCCCAATTGATCTCATCTACCTAAGATCAAAGTCACAACGTGGGTAGGTTAGACTTGAGATCGAAGCAGTTACTCCAGTAACCAGACTTTGCAAGTGAGCTGGGAACGATAGACGATAGAGGTGGTATTGAACTGGTATATCTGGTGAAGCCGTTAACATCAACGACCAGAATTCGACTCTGGACGGGCCAGTGTACGATATTGGTATCCTGACCAGGGGATTTTGCCAAGTACCAACGACCACCGATTGACTGGGACACAGGCTAGTGGTGGCGACAAAGAGTCAACCCCAAAACGCCGGTAGAAGAAACATTACAGTTTTGCGCCATGACTGGAAGTTGACCACGAGTCAATGGCTGGGTGTCACAAATGTTTGAAGTATGGCTTTCCTATTCATCAGGTACTGAGAGTTATGAACTCACGCATATGTGGTTGCTCATATCGATTTATCTCATTTTCCAAATTATTTGTGTGTGTGTGTGTGTGTATATATATATATATATATATATATATATATATATATAATATAAAAAAAATGTTAGCTACTAATACAACCAAGTAATATATGTCAAATTATGCTATTTAACGTATAGCAAATTTTACAGAACCTCTAGTAACAAAGCACTTAGTATAAGACTAGAGCAATAATTATTAAAATATAAGTACAAATATTCAGTACTTATCGGATGCCAACATTGTTTCATAATATTCAAATCACTCATCAATATCTTAAACAAGAATGACTGTATTCATCACAGAAAATCTATTTCATATACATATTTATACGCTTATGTTCTACAGTTATAACAATTAACTTCACAAGTTTCTCACAAATTTGAAAAGCCAAATAATCATATTCTTTACATATATATGTACACAGTAGGACCATGCAGTTTAATTAGTTCCCAGACTGAGCTCATATTGCAAATTAAATGTATTACAAAGCATTTTCCAATGAAATTAATGGAAGTTTAATTAACCCATTTCAGTTCCCCTCCCCTAAGCATCCAAAATTTCTATTTTAGAATTTTAAGAAACAGAAAACAGGCTGTAAAAAATTAAATCACAAAAAGTACATGTAATAAGAACATGATAATAGTGAATAATAGTGAATGAAAGAAATAAAAAACTTTTATTAAACTACAAACCTTTCATAAGAAAGTTTCTGGCATTTTCACTCAGAACTTAAGGACTTTTGTGACATTTGATTTGCTTTTGGCGCTTGCAGATTATTTCATTAGAAACTTATCAATAGAAATCTGTTTCGTTCTTGATTTCAAAATGCCACAAAAATAATGAACACAATTTTTGTTGAACAAAGCATCTGCATGACTAGCATCTTGATTTTTGTGGGTGGTATTTTTCTACAAAGTCGTGCACTTCTTTCCACATGGCCAGTACTTCTTTGATCTCACTCATGCGGGCATCCTCTGACACACTTCCCCCCTCGGCTAGTTCTTTACCTTTTGGTGCTCCTAAAGCAGCTGAAGTTCTTCTGTCGTCAGCCTCTCTCTGTGCTCATCAAGAAAGGGAGACAATCAGTAGCGTTGCTAGGTGACTTTATCTGTGATAAGTACTTCAAAGAATTTTCTCCAATAAAATGACTAAATGTTCTGGATATCAGGCATTCACAAATAGATGACATCAGCTGGCAATTCTTCTTTTTACTTCAGTCACTGACTGCTTCCTTGTATATGATGGTTGCTCGTACTGTGAATTTTTACTAGTTCTACAATACAAAAATGTTCACAAATGGCAGCACATAAAGCAATTTGCTCGTATAATGGTGAACTCATATTACGAGGTTCTACTAATAACCTTGGTATATAGAAAGTTCGCTTTTTCTGGTTTATACACGTGTTGGGATTCTTTTTGCCCTAAGAAATGCAAAATAAACCTTATAAAAACACATAGGGCATTGAAAATTCATTCTGAAGAGTTCCTCAATAGTGAAATCGGTTTTATAACAAGAACTTTATGCAATAATGGGTATCCACTCACTGTTGTCAATTTGGTGATTAATAAGAAGATTGCTAACTTCAGAAAAATTAAGCCAGTTGTTATGGCAAAATGTCCTGTGTATCGAAGACTTCCATGGATTGGAGAAAATGGTGAAAACCTAACTAGGAAAACTTCTTTAAATGTGCAGAAGTATTATTTTTTACTAGATTGATTCTATCTAGTAGTTGTAAAGACGTTCTCCCCCACCCTTATCAAATAAGCTCTGTATTGTATAAGTATGAATGTAACTGTGGTGCCAGTTACATAGGGAGATCTACCCAATGCCTTGATACTAGAATTAAACAACATGTCTGTATTGCTACAACGTCACTTGTACAAATCAAGATACCGCTGGTTCAGTTCGCTGTCCTTGCTTTCTGAACACGTCACAATGTATATCCATCTTCCCTTCTTACTGATTCACCCCTCTTTTATCAGGCCAACACTGCAGTTGACCAAGCAATCGGTGTTCTTCGCTTTTATTCTCAATTACCCAGGCAAATAGCCTCCTCCAGTTCAACCAATCAGCACATGACTTGCTATTTTGCTGATGTCATGTGCCGCCCGTTAAGGTAAGACTCTTCTTTTCCTAGGCACCAGATGCATGCCACTCTGGCTCGCTTGCTTCTACAGGGCTGTTCACCACAATGTCCCATTGAAAATTAGGAACCGCACCTCACAACAAAATGAACTCTTCTGCAATACGTATTGTTCTTTAATTTCTGAACATCTGATAAAATCGTAGAAAATGGGCTATGGAATTTAGTGTGGATTGGTTTTCTTTTTTAGCCAATGTACACTCACTTTTCCATTTGAAAGTGCTGGAGGCTGTTTACATCAGGTCTCGCAGACCCTTCGCTGTGCAAGCAGCAATAGTGTCTGCTGGGCCTTGCTGTAATCAGTTTCTAGTATTTCAAAATTTTTTTCTTTTTTTATTACTCATTGACTAATTCATATTCCATGTCTATTATATTTTACCTGAAATTATCTCAATGGAGAAACTGTGATAAGCAAGAGTGAAACCGGTTGTTTTGTTTTTTTTCCTTTTTTATCCCTCGTTATGCCTCTTAATGTGAAACTAAATACTTTTAAAGCAACACTCAAGTTTTGTACCACTAAAAATCTGTTAAGTAAGTGGGCATTCAGATTTATAAAGAAACTTTCCAGAGTCCATGTTTTCTTGATGGACTTTGAAACATCCCTTCTTTTAAGTGCCTTCAGGATGTTGGTGATCATATGCTTTCCACAATTTCCTGTTCTTTGTAGCTCTGAGTAAATTTTGTCTTTTTGCTATCTCTCCTAAACCATTTACACAAGCTTCTTAGGCAAGATATACGCTATTTTCCTCTACCCATCTTACTTCTAATCTATCCTGTATCAAATTTTCCAAGCCCTCTTTCTTCGTTATGTGCTATATAAATTTTAACATTCTTTTTCTGATTCTAAGTATAAGTATGATTTTTTTTTTTACATTTTTTCTAACACTTTGTTGATGCTTGCAAGTGTAATCCATGGTATTCTCAGCATCCTTCTGTGGAACCACATTTCTGTTACCTGGTAATTTGGTCTGTTCTTTTTGTTAACAACCAGATATTGACTTCTTGTAATTGATGTTTAGGTCTTTGTTCGTCTTACTTTTTTGCCTTCTGTAGTTCTTGTAGTTTCCTTTCTGCATCTGCTATCAAGACAGTATTGCAGCATATGCTTTTTTATTTTTTTTTATTTTATCATTTCACCCTACCCAAAACAATAAAGCCAGTAAGACTCGGGAGGTTATTAAGTGTGAGAAAATATGAGAAAAAGAAAAAAATTAAGGAGAGAGGACAATAAAAGAACCGGTATTCAGAAGATAGTGATTGACATTGCATTTTAATTTTTGAAAATTGACTTACCAAAATAAGTAATAATTGGTTACATTTGTTGTCTATTATATTTAACAATATGTTTGAATATATATATATATATATATATATATATATATATATATATATATATATATATAATGTACATTTTAAAACTTGATCACTTCTTTTGAAATTAATTTGTACATGTTAAGATATGAAACTGAGTAGATATGTATGTATGTTTTGAGAGTCTGAGAAAGATTTGCATTTATAAGACAGCCTTTAACTTTGCTTAATTGACAAGACTATCTATGGCCAACTTGGTCTAAAGCAGTGGTTCTCAACCTTTTTTTACCCATGGACCCCTTTCCCCTTCTTTTTATCTTGGTGGACCCCTTCATAGCTATTGGACATAAGAACAATTTTCTATTCTTCACTAATATAAATTTTAAGGTTTTAATTATCAAAGAAATAGTATACGATTAAGCTTTATTTTTAAATGAAAACTAATTTAATACAAATAAAATATTCTACTATAATTATAATAATAATTATTATTACTATTTTTAATTAACAACACAATTGTGTTTTGCCTGTGGACCCCTGGAAATATTACATGGACCCCTAGGGTCCATGTAGACCCCGGTTGAGAACCACTGGTCTAAAGCATATCAAATCTAATGATAGTTTCCACTGCCAAGTTATGCTTAGTTATAACTAATCTGGTTTAAGTAAGTTTTTATTTCAATAAATTGTATGAAGAATTTGTCTTCGAATTTTAAGAGCAATTTTTTTTTTTTTTTTAATTATTTCAACCCAAGCAAGGCGGTAGTGACACTAGTATGCAGTGGGTTACTGTTGTAACCTAGGGAAGGTTACTGAATAGAATAATGACACAAAGGTTGGTTATGAACGATAATACTTAGGACACAAACAACATGTATAAGATTCGCCAGCAGCGCGAAGAAGTAGTCAACTGCTAGAAGTGAGTCAAGTGAATTTCACAATGAATTTCCATCTGCAGACTAACTTACAGTATTTACTACTGTATTTATGTGAATGGTGACATGCCCATTATCGTCCATAGGTATGCTACAACAATTACAGAGAGTGAAAGTGAGAGAAAAAACTGGGTATGGGGGGATTGAGGAAAGGATAAAAGATGAATGGGATTCAAAACAATAGAAGATGGCGATTGACATTGTAGTTATCAGAGAAGCAAGTAAGAAAAAGGGAATTCCACTGTCAGGAATTGTGAGAAAAGAAACTGTTGGAGTAGAAGTGGTGGTTACATTTAACTCTTTGGACAGTAAAAGAGTGGTACCTAGATGCCAATCTAGTAGCATGCTTAAATTCAAGTAGTCTGGGCACCAGGGAAAAAACCTCATCAGAACAGTTGCCATGAAAATATTTGTAGAAAAGGCAGAGGGAAGACACATCACATCAGTAAGAAAGTGACTGAAGTCAAGATGCCAAGACATTGCAGATTCTTCTTTGGATTTTATCAAGGACCTTGAGATGAACAGCAGGAGCACCAGACCAGATATGGCAGCAGTATTCAATGCACAAAAGAATGGTAGATTTGTATATGTGTAAGATGGACTCTTATGAGAAAAACCCTCTGGCATGACACAATGAACCAACTTTCCTAGTTGGATGCAGCTAACAATTCAGTGTTGTTGTTCCACTTCAAGTTGGTTAAAAACGTGAGGCCAAGACAACATAGTGAGATGCTCTCCTGGCAGGCAGGGAAGTTTTTCTGCGGTAGTTAAATGAGAGCAGTTTAGTTTTGGAGGCATTAAAATTTACAAGCCATTTCCAGCCCCAGTTATCCACTGACTGGAGGTCCTATTTGAGAGGAGTGACCAGGTTCATTTTGTCAGTGCTGATGGATTTATTATTGAGACAGAAGTAAATAGTCATGTCATCTGCATAGATGCTTACTTGGGAACTGATGACATCAGGAAGATCATTGATGAAGATCAGAAATGGTGTAGGACCTAGGATAGAGCCTTGGGGGAAACCTGTATTCATGTGAAAAGATCTGGAAGCGAGCCTGTTCAGAACAACCTTCATTTCACAATTAGATAGGAATGATTGGATTAACTCAAATAATTGCTCAGTAATACCATGGCCCTGAGGTTTACATAGAAGACCAGCATACCAAACCCTGTCAAACGTTTTTCAGATATCTAGAGCCACAGCACGAGCTTCACTGTTATTATCAAGAGATTGATATACATATTCAATTATGGTTGTAAGCACATCAGCAATAGACTGGGCAAAACGGCAACTATATGGTTTATCAGAGAGTAGGTCATGAGAGGTAAAATGCTTAAGCACTTCAGCCATCATTAATCCTCCGAATACTTTGCCAAAAGTGGTAGAAGACTGATAGGGTGGTAGTTAGAAGGCTCTCCAGAGTTCTTAAAGACAGGGACTACAGATGAGGATCTTCAACAAGCTGGGAAGCAGTGAGGCAATAGTTGTGTAGTTTGGAGAGAATTAATGCTAGCTTGGGAGCACATTTTATTCAGGACAATGGCTTGTTTTCTGTCATCTCCAATTGCCTTATAGGAGTCCAATTTAGAAATGATGACTGAGACCAGTGATGCAGTTATATCACTCAGTAGAGCCACGTTTCTTGGTGGGGAAATCAGGTGTGGGTACTCTGGATTAGTTGAGTGCTGAGTTAGATGAGAATTTCTGAGCAAAGCATTCAACTTTTATATACTGTAGATGTCAAGACTTTGAATTTATTGAATTGGGGAGGAATTGAGGATTTGCTGTTGTTCAGCACACACACACTTGCAGAGCCAACAATAGTTTCTAGAGCCTAACTTGCAAGATGCTATATGTTGTTTCATTCTATCAGTGAACATTAACTTTACTTCGTTGAGGACACACTTGCACTCATTATGAGCAGTAACAAAGAAACATCTGTTGCATTCAAAATGTGTTGCTCTGGTATAGCCGGAAGAAGTGATTCCTGTGGGCTTTAACAACTGAGCATGCAAGTGAGAACCAAGGAGATGAACATGGTTTAACTTCATATTTTCTTCCTGGAATGAAAGCATCGATGCTGGCTTTCACCCAGGAAGAGACCTCAGACCCACATTTTTGAATGGGAAGATTAAAAACTTCTTTCCAAGCAATGTCATAAAGGAAATGCAGAAATTTTTCTCTTTCAAAAACCCTGTAAAACAGTCCACCTGCAAAATGTTTTAAAAATATACTTTGAAATCCACATTGAAGATTTAGCCAATTTTCCCCTCAAGAGCTTTGAGTATCCATTCCAATATTTTTTTTTTGCTTGTTTTCAATGAGAGATTCTTTAAGAAAAATTCTGAAAATGTTTTTTTATGCAGACCAAATATAATTCTATGAATGAAAGAACTTAAGAATTAAATTAAAAAATTTTCAAGTTTTCACTCTAGTCTTTAATCCTAAAGGTAATTTGTTTTCCAATCTTGAGAATTGGTAAAGGCATTTCTATAGAAATGATTTTCATTGAACTCATTTCTCTGCAAGCATTTTCTACCTTTTCAATATATTTTCCTCTTGTAAAACTTTAAGAATTTTTTTTATATTTCTTTGTCTTTTTATAATATTTTTTAAACTTTATCTTGTTTTGTTAATGAAGCAATAATTCTATATTCATGTTTCTCTCTGCTTGATTGCGAGAGAATGGATGTTCACTTGAATCAGAAAATAGAACACTGCAACTCATCAAGGAAATTGCAGTTGGGTAACGTTATAAACTTTCAACCTATTTTATTCATTTTCTCCTCGTAAGTTTAAATTTCTCTTACTATCTTACTTTTTTATTTCTCCTCTGCCATTTCCATCTTTTTTTTCTCCTATCATATTATTTTTTCTTTTTGCCTGGTTTTATGTTTCTCAATTTTATTTTATTTTTCATTTTTCACTTTTCTTTTTTAAATCCTCAGCCATCTTCTTTTTTTCCTACCTTTGTAATTACTTTTCCTCCTTTCTCTTTCACCTTTCTTTCTTTGTTTTCTCCTGTTTCCAAAATTTTTAATTACTTTTCCTCATTTTATTTTATTCTCTCTTTAAGTTTTCTTTATTTATTGTAATCCTTTTTCTCTATTACTACATTACACTATTTACATGCAGACTATTGTCCTCATCTTTGTTATTGTCATCACAACATTTTGGCCCTTCTTGGTCCTTTGTTTTTCATCAGCTGTATTTCAATTCAGATATCCACTATAGCCTAGTGGTTCGTTAGTTTGGGGACATAGTAATTATGAGTTGGCCAGGCAGTGTTTATTTGAACCTAGTCGGAACTAACTGAGCAAGAACTGAAAAGTACTAAAAGTAAGAACTGGGTGAAATATCATTAGACATGGACAATGGAACAACAATCGACTACATAAATTAAATAAAGGTTTCAGTTCAAAATTCCGTGTAGGTTATCCAAATCAATATACACTTGATGAAAGCCAGAGAGCACAACAGCCAAAACATTGTAATAACAGCAACAACAAAGAGGAAAAAAGTCCACATGTAAGTAGTGAAAATAATAACTCCTCATTCCAGACAGAAAGCAAACTTATGTAGAAATAGAGAAAAAGTCTACATGTAAAAACTTGTCTGCTGTTTTGCATCTTTCTTTAAAACCCTGTTTATTTGGGGGTTGGTTGTGGGCTTTACTTTTCTTTCATTTTCTCTTTTAATCTTTTTATCTCTTCTTTATATAAAATATAATTTTTATTCTCTTCAGTTTTAGTTGATGGATATTCATTGTTTACCAACATTCTGTTGAGACAGTATTTTTTTAATATTTCACTTATTCTTTTATTTTGAAAAAAAATTGTTTTTATTTTATTTCAGAATTTCATCTAAAAACTTCGACTCCTGAAATTATCTTTCTTGTGTCTCAATGGTCTTCTGCCAGTTTACAAAATAGATTTTTTCTTTTTCAACTCTCAAAGCAAAATCTTTTATTTAGTATCTATTTGATTAACTATCTTGCTAATCAAAATTGCTCAATTTTTTTTATTTTTTATTTTTTACTTTTGAATTTTTTTCAGAATAAGTATTTTTTTATTGAAATTTTTAACAACTTTTCTTTTGAGCTTTTTTGCTTTTTCCTTCTCTTTCAATTCTTATTCCTTTCATTTTTCTTCATATCTGTAATCTTCATACTTTTGACTTTTTATATTTTTTCTTTTCATCCTTCTTCCTTTTTTTTAGTTTTCACTTACCTATTCTTTTTTCTTTCTATACTTTAGTTTTCATTCATTCTTTCTTCTTTTTAGTTTTCATTCCTTCTCTTTCTTTCTACATTCATTCCTTCTCTTTCTTTCTACATTCATTCCTTCTCTTTCTTTCTACATTCATTCCTTCTCTTTCTTTCTACATTCATTCCTTCTCTTTCTTTCTACATTCATTCCTTCTCTTTCTTTCTACATTCATTCCTTTTCTTTCTTTCTATATTCATTCCTTCTCTTTCTTTCTATATTCATTCCTTCTCTTTCTTTCTACATTCATTCCTTCTCTTTCTTTCTATATTCATTCCTTCTCTTTCTTTCTATATTCATTCCTTCTCTTTCTTTCTACATTCATTCCTTCTCTTTCTTTCTTTTACATTCCTTCTTTCTTTCTACATTCATTCCTTCTCTTTCTTTCTACATTCATTTCCTTCTCTTTCTTTCTACATTCATTCCTTCTCTTTCTTTCTATATTCATTCCTTCTCTTTCTTTCTACATTCATTCCTTCTCTTTCTTTCTACATTCATTCCTTCTCTTTCTTTCTACATTCATTCCTTCTCTTTCTTTCTACATTCATTCCTTCTCTTTCTTTCTACATTCATTCCTTCTCTTTCTTTCTACATTCATTCCTTCTCTTTCTTTCTATATTCATTCCTTCTCTTTCTTTCTACATTCATTCCTTCTCTTTCTTTCTATATTCATTCCTTCTCTTTCTTTCTACATTCATTCCTTCTCTTTCTTTTACATTCATTCCTTCTCTTTCTTTCTACATTCATTCCTTCTCTTTCTTTCTACATTCATTCCTTCTCTTTCTTTCTACATTCATTCCTTCTCTTTCTTTCTACATTCATTCCTTCTCTTTCTTTCTATATTCATTCCTTCTCTTTCTTTCTACATTCATTCCTTCTCTTTCTTTCTACATTCAGTGTTATTCATTCCTTCTTTTTTATAATCACCTTATTTCTTATTCATTTTCTTTTTACTCTTTTCTTGTTCTCAATTTTCTTACATTATTCATTCATTTTCTTTTCTTCCCATTCACCTTCCTTTATTTTTGCCATATTTTCTTCTCATATTGCAATAAATAAAATGATTGCCTTTATAACGAGGCAAAGAGAAATTTTGTTTCATATAAACACCAATAATCAGAAAGGAAATTATTATTTTTTTCCAAAAATCCAGGCAATCTTGATTACTCATTATGTTGCTACCTCTCTGGCTGACTCAACTCAGCTCATTGATAATGGCTAGCTATTCTTGTTGACAATTACCAACTTAAACAGTTTTACTCTTTATCAATACTTTAAATTTTCTGTTAATGCTTTTTAACATCTTCAATCTATAAAGGCAGTTTAATTGATACTGAGCTTAGCTTTATAAATCATCCCTAGTGGTTGTAATATAATGTCTTGCTTAGGCTACTCTCTGTGACATTATTAGAATTGTCTCCTACTGACTCCAACAGACTTCTGTTCTTTATTTAAGGTGTGTGTAAAGGGGTTTCTTATTTACTCCACAACATCCCCACTTATGAGATTTTTTATGAGTAAATATTTTATTTCTTAATATTCACTCCATACTCTTTCTGGCGAGTTTGCCAATGTAGTCAACTTTGTATTTCTTTCCTTTTTGGTCAAACTCTAGTTTTTTCTGCACGTTTCCTTTTTCTGGTAATCAAACTTTTAAATTCAATGAATTTTTGGGGTCTTGGTACATCAAAAGTATCATACAGTACTTGTATAGGTTCTTACTTTCTTGTGGATATTTTTTCAGTAAACTTTTTCTTTAACTGATTCAAATACCTTTTGTGTTCCCATTTTTTTCCTTTTACCATATATATCTTTTTTCCAATTCATGACCTTACTACGTCAACTTCCGACATTTCTTTGCCATTTTTATTTACTCTGAAAAACACTTTTTCACCAATTTTGAAAAATTTTGTGTCCTTTTTGTTATCCATGCTTATTCTTTTTTAACCATGTAACAACTTCTTGTCGAACAACGATTTAATTTTTCTTGCAAACATCAATTCTGTTGGTGACATGCTGGTTGGTGTATTGGGATTCAACATTATCCAATACCGTTCAGTTTATCTGTTTGACCTTGGATGATAGGGTTGTAATATGTTTGGTTGAGAACATTTTACAAAATTCTTTAAATTTGTAAGCAGTGAATTGTGTACTGTTATCCAAGACTATGGCATCAGAAATGCCATATCTTGCAAACAGTTTGTCTAAAACAAATTCACTTTAACTGTGGAAGTTGGTTCTTTGCACTTACAAATTTTAGTCCACTTAGTAAAGCTATCCACTACAAGATAATATGATCCATTTACTGGACCTGTGAAATCTATGTGCAGTCTTGACCTTGGAATATCTCTCTTTGGCCAAAGCTGTAATTTCATGACCGGTGATTTTGCAGCCAGAGCACAACTTCTGTGGGCTTTTCCTAATTTTTCAATGTCTTGATCCATTTTGGTCTAGTATATATAGCTTCTCATTAGAGATTTATTCCCAGAAATTTCTGGACGTCCACCATGAAATTTATTTAATATTTGCTTTTGTAATATTAGGTATTACTACTCTTTGTACAAACATCAATAATCTGTTACATTAAATAATGCATTCAAGTCTGGATTGCATTCTAAAAATCATCTTACTTATTTTAGTTGTTTTTTTTTTATTATTATTTTTGCAATAATCATGTCTTGTTCTGCTTTTACTTTTATATCTTTCAGGGTAACTGGTAGTTTGCGTATTACATTGCATAATAAATTTTTAATTTCTATTTCACTTTTTAATGCTGCTTTTTTGGGGCAGTTGGTATTCCATCCTGAAATCAGAATTTAATAAGATGGTACCCCAGCATTGTAATCATTGTAATTTTCTGTATACATAGGAATTCTTTTTTTCAAACAATAAATTGATAATAGAGGTCTATGGTCTGTCTGTAAATGAAAATTTTTTCACTGCAAATATTATTGCTAATGCCTCTTTTCTAATTTGGCTATAGTTCTTTTCTGCTGGTAGTAATGAATGCAAAGCATGTGAAGTGGCTTTCATGTTACCATCATCATATTTATGCAGAATTACTCCTCCTATACCATAGTCACTAGCATCCGAAGCTAATACGATTTCTTTTAGATTGTAATTTCCTAATGATAAGTCTGACGTTAATATTTTCTTTATTTTTTCAAGCGCCTTCTGACACTTATTAGTCCAGTTCCACGTTACACCTTTTTTAAGCAAATTATTCAGTGGAGCTCTCAAATTCTATATATTAGGTATATAGATTTGATAATAATTTGCTAACCCTAAAAATGCTTGTAAGCTAGTAACATTTGTTGGATGAGGTATATTCTTAATTGCACTTGCCCTTGATGAATCTGATTGACTACCCTTTTTGTCAATTATTTGTCTGAGTTATATAATTTTAGGCAAAATCAATTCACACTTTTCCTCACTGAACTTGTAGTCTTGTATTTTTTAAAAACTCTTTTCATGTGCCTGATATGTTGTTTCTTAGATACACTTTTAATTAATATATCATCCAGATAAGAAAGTGAAATCACTATCTGCAAGCATAGAATCCATAGCTTGTTGAAATAAGTTGGCGCCACAGATATCCCAAAGGGAGTCGGTTGAACTTAAACAATCCCTTGTGCATATTTATAGTTAGTAACTCTGAACGTTCTTCAACCTGTATTTACAAATACACTTCAGAAAGTTCCAGCTTCAAAAAGATTTTCCCACCATTTATATTCGCAAAACTTTCCTCTGGACTACGTAATGGGTAGTTATGGGGTTTGAAACATTTGTTCAACTCTATCAAAAAATCAGCAAAGGCACAAATTTTATTGTTTTTCTTATGATCAATTTTTCAATTACACCTATTTTTTTAATTCTGTCTAATTCTTTGTTGACTTGATCCAATGTTGCAAATTGTACACTACATTTCAGTTTAAACACTGGTATCAACCCTTTTTTTATTTGAAATTTCTCTTTGACTTTAGAACACAGACCCAACTCATCTGACAGAACATCCAGAAAACATTTTTTCACTATTTACATTATTCAGACTATTGTCCTCATCTTTGTTGCCATATTTTCTCAAAGACATATGGCACAGTGGATAAAGGCATTAGTTAGATCCAGTGACAGGACCCAAAGAGTGTGAGTTCAATACCTGGTTAAGGCAGTGGAGAACTTGGAGAGGTGAATTAACAGGAGATAACTGATAACCATTAGACATGGTATGTGGAACTAGAACAATCTACCTCAGCAAGCAAAATAGAGGGTTCAGTTCGACATTGCAACCACCTGAAGAAAGATGGAGTGTACATTGGCTGAAACGTTGTAATAAATATGGCAACAAAGATGAGGACAATAGTCCGAATAATGTAAATAGTGTACATAATACCTCATTAGATCATTAGTGTACATAATACCTCCTCTCAGAAATATTGACAGAAACATTTTTTCAGTTGTTCATTTTAATTTTTCCAATTTTTTTTAAAGTGGTAGCTTGTCCACTTACATTTTTGCAATAAATATTTATAGGTAAATACCACAACTCAAATAATTCCATTCAGTCAGTACCAAATAAGTTTGTCGTATTTTTTTTTTATACATAAGCCTTGGCTTTTACACACTTATGAAATGAAACATTACATATCATTTCGCCAATAAGAAATAATTTCTCACCTGACACATCACATGCAATTTTCAAAGTTCTTTTTAATTTAGGTTTTCCCTTTGCTTTCCATGTAACTTTGTTGATGATTGTGATATAACTACCAGTGTCTAGGGTGCATTTTTACATCCACATTATTAATTTTCACATACACAAATTTTTTTGGTTTTCTGTAATTATTTTTTCCATCGCAATGCTGTGTACACAATTTTTTCCTTCATTTTGTTTTACAGTATGACATTTTTTCCTTCATTTTGTTTTACAGTGTGTGACATTTTGCATCCTACTTTCCCACACTTGTAACTGTTTAAATTCTTAAAGGGACACAGTCGTTTCCAAGATGTAATTTTCCACATCTGAAATATAGATTAATTTTTCTTTTTCCATATTTTTTTTAGCTTGTATATATGTGCATTTTTCTTCAATTTCTTCTGCATTACGTCTCAGATACAGGATTCTCTGACATTTGTCTGATATTTTTTGTAGAGTTAGTTTTTGATTCTGTTCAAGTTTCATTAGAACTCTAGCATATATTTCTGAGTTTGTTTTTTTTTTACCATTAACCCTTAAATGAAAATTAACTCTTTAAACATATCTAGAGTCAGTTCATTTAATTTGAATCTTTCATACTCCTTGTTAATGATTCCAGCATATGTGACAAAATCTGTCTTCTTTTTTTATCAGATTCATAAACTTCCAATGAGTATTGAATAATGAGCTTTTCTTGCTAAAAATTTTAGTCAGAATATTTACTGTTTCTTCACAGTAAATTTCTCCTGTTTTTTTTGTTTTTTTTCTTGGTAGTACAAAATTACATTATTTATCATGATCTACCAGTGCTCACTTTCTCAAGAAAATTTTTTTTTTTTTCCCCAGTCACTGCATTCTTTTCTGAAAATGTGCTTGTATCTTCTAAAATAAGAATAAAAGGTAATTCCATCATCTGGATTGTATGGGAATTCAGTTATTGTATTTGCCATCATGTCAGGAGTCAATGAACTTTTCCATTTTCTTCCATATTATTTCAATTAAATTTTGTTGTTTTTGGAGTTTCAACAACTGCTGTTGTTGTATTTTTACCATTTGGGCAAATAATTCTCCCATATTTAAAGAATTTTTTTTCTTCTTTCTCTTTCTTTTTCTTTTTTACACACACATAAGAGAAAAAAATTAGACCAACGTGGTTATAATTTCTTGTTATCATGTGCGTCAAAGCAAAAAAGAGTTCTTTTTCCTACTCCATATGAGTTTTGATTCTTCATTGCCACTATTAGAACTTACTCCTAGCTGTTATAATATTATGTGTTGCTTAGGCTACTCACCATGACATCATTAGAATTCTCTCCGACTGACTCCAATGGACTTCTACTGACTCACTTTGAGTTCTTTATTTAAGGCGTTTTACCTAATTCGTTTATGTTACCAGGATGTCTTATTTAATCCAAAACAGCTTAATATATTTTTTTTTAATCCAGTTCACCTCAAGTGATGCAATGAGTCACAAGAGGTTACTGTGTGTGGAAAATTGGATCACAGAAACACCACTAAGGAGCAAGTAC